CTCACCTGAACATGCATACATTATAAGGGTGCTGCTGGGGCCAATTCATACAACATGCAAGAGCCAGTGCACTCACTCATTCACTAAGCAGCAATTTCAATTCTCACAATTTGTGAAGTATTAATTGGCAATACCAATACTATAACAAAGATATCACCCTCACAACTTGTTTATTGATGGTGCATAAACAGAAAGCAAAAGACAAACTTCCCTCTGTGACCTCTTTATGAACAAAGTTAACTGATATAACAAAATCCCTGTTTTTGGGGTTATCTGGACTGTTGTATGGCATTCTGGCAAGTTGCTATTCAGTTCTTTAGAATCAGGCTCCTATTGAGGCTTTTTAAGGTCTACTGTATTATCATTGTGACAGATGCCTGACTCAAATACTCTACATGTTTTCTGTTTATTATTCGTCTAAAAGATAATAAAGAATGCTTTCATATCTTGCAACATGCTTACTACTTTATATGTTTAGTTTTATTTTGTGTGTTTGTATTTTAAGTAATTCAGCTTAAAGGGAAACTCCAGTGCCAGGAAAACAATCTGTTTTCCTGGCACTGTAGGTCCCCTCTCCCTCCCACCCAGGGCCTAGCTGGGGATTCCAAAGCAGCCCTGGAAAAAAAAAAAAATCTATGCCAGCCCTATAAGTCATTGCGCCATATATTGTTGCATGTAATATGTAAGGCTATGTCTTGCCACCCTAGATATGTGTGTGTGTGTGTGTGTGTGTGTGTGTGTGTGTGTATATATGTGTGTATATATATATATATATATATATATATATATATATATATATATATATATATATATATATATATATATATATATATATATATATATATTTATATTCTCTTTTTCCAATATAAAATATTGGTCCTTTCAGATTAAAATGTTTAATTATACAGTAAGCATACTCACATGCGCGCACACACAGACAATCTCACTGACACAAGCTGATTGATACACAGCCTCATAGACAAACAATCTCACTGATATACATAAGGTCATTGACCTAAAAACACAGGCACTCACACACACACGCAAGCCCACTCACTAGCAGGCGTGCACACACAGCTTAATGTAGTGTGTAACGGATCACCTGGCACCCCGACTGGGTACCTCCATTGAAAGATGCTCCTAGCGCTTCCAGAGGACTCCAAGCACTCCACCAGACACCATAAGCACCGCAGGCTGCAGCTATCTCCCTTCAGAACGAAGCAGGAACAAGCTCTTACTAGAGCTCAGTGATTATAGCAAGGGAATATGCCTAGCATAGCAATCCCTTGTAGCAGATTCCCCCAATAAGAGACAGGACTCAAGTTGAGGGTAAAAATAGAACTCTCTGGCTGCTAGCTTGCAGCCCTTTTTATTAGGTGCTCCCATGAAGGGGAGGGACGCACACAGTAACGTACATTAACCAATCACACAATAGTTACATCCCACACATAGCCCTCCCCTCTACCTGTAAACTAATTATCTGTACACACAGGGAAATACAATTATCATAGGTAGGGAAAATACAGTTTTTACACAACATTCATAACTCCCAAAATATACATCACATTCGCATAAAAATACATATTCACAATCAATCCATTCAGGGGAACAACATATTTAAAAATGGCATGAATCAGACCAGGGGTTCAAAAGTTAGTAAAAGTATCTTTTGTTCCCCCTGGCTCAAACAGTAAAAGTAAAACATCCCCACAATGCATCCTGGCTTCCTCCCTTCTGCCCTGGAGATAATTGGAGAAGGAATCTAATTATCTCCAAAGACAGAGCCAAACTCCATTACCCACATGGCAGACAAAAAGACAGTAAAAGACAGTAAAAGACATAAAATTACATACTGACACATTTAGTACATAAAACACACATTTCTACATATCCCCAGATAGCTTGGATCTGACTGCACATTATTAGATGAATGGCACTCAGATCACACGAATAAGCCTTTCTGCGGGGAAAATAAACAGTTTAACCTGCAGGGCCATAGTCCAAAGGCAAGAGGCGGGCAAGCAGCCCCCTCCAAGGACACGTGGCGAGGTCGGTTTTGCCACACTTCTCCCCTTTGCCCCCCAGACTAACAGGGTATCTGACCTCCTGCCGGTCAGTGCCCTGGATAGTCCAGCAACCCACCCACGAAGCACAAACAGCAGTACAGCCCACCCACAATAAATGTTTACTCCACCTGGATAAAGTAGCAACTTGTCCATGTCCAGGTGCCTCACCACGGCTGTGTGGGGAGCTGGTAGACTGCCTTGGTGGGTTGCTGAGTGGGCAGAGACCAGCGGTACTCTGCCCTGGTGCCAGCGCTACCAACGAAGTAGCCTGATTGGAGCCTGGTTGTGGGAGGGGGAGACCGACCGTCTCCCCTCTGGGTACACAGCTCTGGGGCTGGGGAACAGGACCGACCGTCTCTACCCCTTGGGCTGTAAGCGCAGAGACTACGGTCCCATCTGCACAGTTGCAGGGCTCAACATCTCCCCTTGGTGGGTTAGGCTGCCGCTGGAGAGAGGGTGTAACAAGCTCCTCTCTCTGGACTGTCAACTGCCGCTGGGGAGAGGGGTTAACAGGCTCCTCTTCCTGACACTCTCTCTGCTGGTGGAGAGGCGGACCAGCTGTCTCCCCTTTCATTATTTTGTCCTGCTGCTGGGGTGTGAGACTGACGGTCTCTGCTCCCTGCAGGACACACTGCCGCTGGGGAGGAAGGACGACACCTTCAGCTCCCTGGGGTACACACTGCCGCTGGGGAGGAAGGACGACACCTTCGGCTCCCTGGGTTACACACTGCTGCTGGGGAGGAAGGACGGCACCTTCCGCTGGGGCAGCCTGTAGAAAGTCAGGCTCAGGGGAAGGAAACAAGGGAGGACAGAGGCCAGCGGCGCTCTGCCCAGTTGCCAGCTCTTCTGCTGGGGGGTCAGGGAACAAAGGAGTTGGCTGGGGAGGAGAAATATCACTTACCTCCCCCTGGTACTCCGGCTGCTGCTGGGGGGGGAGGTCGATGCTCTCCACTTTCTGTAACTCCAGCTCTAGTTGGGGATCTGGGCCGGTTGCCCAGCATCCCTGTAGGGCCGGTGGAGAGATCTCGGTCCCATCTCCACCTGCCTGCAGGGGGTCCTCCCAGGACCAGTCTATGAGGTCCTCTACCTCGGGTACCTCTGGTTGCTGTTGGGGAGGGAGACCGGTTGTCTCTTCCTCCAATAACACATTCTGCCGCTGGGGAGTGAGACCGACTGTCTCCCCTCCCTGTAAAACATACTGCCGCTGGGGATCTGGGCCGGGTGCCCAGCATCCCTGTAGGGCCGGTAGAGAGACCTCGGTCCCATCTCCACCGGCCACCTCGGTTTCTTCCTCGTCCCACTCTACCTGTGGCTGGAGTTTCTCCCAACGTGCCCACTGGCCTTCCTTCAACGCCCTGTGTTGTAGGTTCCGGGTCACCATGTCCCACACGAACCGCACGTATTTCTCCTCTGGATTGGGTCCGTAAAACTTCAGGTGCAACCCTACCATCGTGCCAAACTCTAGTACGGAGTAGCTATACGCCATGCTTGCTGTAGCCACTGCTGGTTCCATTATGTTGCTGAAGATAAGGACGCTGCACAACTCCACACGTTACCGGTGTCTCCGAGCTGCTTCTCCTCGCACTAGGATGCCATCCCGCCGCTGCCACCAATGTAACGGATCACCTGGCACCCCGACTGGGTACCTCCGTTGAAAGATGCTCCTAGCGCTTCCAGAGGACTCCAAGCACTCCACCAGACACCATAAGCACCGCAGGCTGCAGCTATCTCCCTTCAGAACGAAGCAGGAACAAGCTCTTACTAGAGCTCAGTGATTATGCCTAGCATAGCAATCCCTTGTAGCAGATTCCCCCAATAAGAGACAGGACTCAAGTTGAGGGTAAAAATAGAACTCTCTGGCTGCTAGCTTGCAGCCCTTTTTATTAGGTGCCCCCATGAAGGGGAGGGACACACACAGTAACGTACATTAACCAATCACACAATAGTTACATCCCACACACAGCCCTCCCCTCTACCTGTAAACTAATTATCTGTACACACAGGGAAATACAATTATCATAGGTAGGGAAAATACAGTTTTTACACAACATTCATAACTCCCAAAATATACATCACATTCGCATAAAAATACATATTCACAATCAATCCATTCAGGGGAACAACATATAAAAAAAATGGCATGAATCAGACCAGGGGTTCAAAAGTTAGTAAAAGTATCTTTTGTTCCCCCTGGCTCAAACAGTAAAAGTAAAACATCCCCACAATGCATCCTTGCTTCCTCCCTTCTGCCCTGGAGATAATTGGAGAAGGAATCTAATTATCTCCAAAGACAGAGCCAAACTCCATTACCCACATGGCAGACAAAAAGACAGTAAAAGACATAAAATTACATACCGACACATTTAGTACATAAAACACACATTTCTACATATCCCCAGATAGCTTGGATCTGACTGCACATTATTAGATGAATGGCACTCAGATCACACAAATAAGCCTTTCTGCAGGGGAAATAAACAGTTTAACCTGCAGGGCCATAGTCCAAAGGCAAGAGGCGGGCAAGCAGCCCCCTCCAAGGACACGTGGCGAGGTCGGTTTTGCCACATATTTTTTTTTTTTTAATTCTTTATTTTTGGTATGCAGGTAGTTACAACAGTGCCTGTGTCGCCACAACAGCATTTAGCAGGCTCGATTTTTATAGACATATGATAGCAGTATTGTGGCAAGTTGGATATGCATACATTTTTTTAAGGTGAAAAGGGTAACTTACAAACACTTATTTTTTAACTGTTGTACAGCATCTTGAGGAAACACGCACATTTTTTAGATTAATAATACAAGTTAAGTACAAGCTGAGTAACTACGTCTGTCTTTTTGACTTACGTTGTTGTTGAGTAATGGTAGCTTAGTGTTAATAGTCATGTTGCGCGTCATCGCTACAATATCTAGGCATTGACATGGTTATGTCTGACTATGCTTAAGTGAGAGAAACAGTATAAATTTACGTTGCTCAAGCATGTCAAAATGCAACACGGAGCTACATCGCTTGTATCTTTCTAGATAGATGGGTTGTACGCTATGCCATAAGCTAATCAAAACATAAAATAGTTAAACCTAAAATAATTACACATAAAATAATTATACTAAGCTTACATGAGCTAGATTAAAGTAACACAGTATAAAATTAGTAGTATGCAGGCTATAATCACAAACGTGTTTGGTCTCTGATAATTACGGATCTGGTTCACTGCACTGTTAATAAAATACACTTTAACATCAGAATATACATGCTTGTGAAAGCGTGTGGTAGGTGCTAATATGTTGCTAGACATAGGCTAAAACATACCGAGGTAGGCTAGAATGAGGCTTTCAAGCATTGTCACATAAAATATATTTTTTTAACATTCTCTCCACTTTTGAATGAAATGACGTTTGGGAAGAGATTAACATAATTAAACACAGGCAGTAAAAATACAGTTTTTATCCATACACTGTAACTTTAAAACTACACATCCCATAACAATTACATATTTG